TACCATGGGGGCTGCCCTGGCCTGGGCGGCTCCCCCTCCGCCACGGGGGCTGTGCCCTCGTTCTCTCTGCCTCCCTCGGTTTTGTTTTGGGGGTCTCCCAGGGGGGCCCTGACCCGCCTGGAGAAGGGGCACCCGCGGCTCCTCCCGCCCGCTCTGTCTCCTCCTCCCTGAGCTTTTAGGGATTCTGGGTTGCGGATCCCCACCTGTGTGACAGGTTACAGCTGTTTGGGGGCTCCGTGTGAGGAGCAGCAGAGCCTGGGAAGCACCCGGCGCAGAGTCTGTGTCCGAGATTTTCCAGAGGGGCGGATCGGGAGCGCTGCCAGAGGCTCTGCTCCGTGTTAAAGGTGCTGCCGGGCTCTTCTCCCGCAGCCGCTGGGGTAGAGCTGCGAGGGGAGGGACCCCTGGGCAGCCCGGGATGCTCTCGGTGTCCTGCCTCAAGCATCGATGGCCCCGCGACCACTGGGGGGGCCAAAACGCCACCACCCCGGGCTGGAGGATGGGAACAGAGCTAGCCGAGCACGGTCAGAGCAGGGCTTTGCTCTGCCCTCAGCCTCCAGGATTATCCTAGAGGGGGGATATCACCTGTGGCCTGGTCTCTGGTTTGTGGGGCTGCAGCCCCCACCCAGCCCAGCTTTGTCTCTGCCATGGCCTCCCTGCCGCCAACGCTCCTTCTCCTCCTCCCAGGAGTCTTATCCAGCTGTGCCCCCGATCTGGTCTGTGGAGTCGGACGATCCCAACTTGGCAGCTATCCTGGAGAGGCTGGTGGAAGTCAGGAAAGGAAACACGCTGGTGAGGCGCCGCTGCCTTGGGAGGGGGGAGGGAGGGCTGGCTGCTCATGGGGGGGAAATCCCTGCTTGTGTGTCCTCTGCCACCCAAGATGGGGGTGTGACTGCTCTCCAGAAATTTGGGATGAGCAGCTCTGGCTTTGTTTGGTGCTCGGGTGGGGTTTTGCTGCTGCAAGCAAGAAGGAGCAGTCCCGGGGCCTTCCCTCATTCACTGCAGCGCTGGGGCTCAGTTTGGTGTGGGGGGCCCTGCACCTCCCTGACCTTCTCTGCTCTCCCAACAGCTGCTGCAGCACCTGAAGAGAATAATCTCTGACCTCTGCAAACTCTACAACCTCCCCCAACACCCAGATGTTGAAATGCTGGACCAGCCTCTGCCGGCAGAACAAGTGAGTTGGCTCGGGAGGAGGCTCCCAAAGCTCAGCAAACCAGGTCCCTGGAGTATGCATTGGATGCTTTTGGGGGTTACCAGAGGAGGAACATGAGTGAGGGGTTGGGTTTCTGTCCTGGGTGATGCCAGCCAGCTCCACTGAGCCTTAGGACTGTTTCCTGTAAAGGCTCTTGGTTCCGCTTTGCTTTTAATTTGGTTCTGCCTGTACACCCCTGTTTGACCTCACCTTGGAAGCACCTGGGGAGGCAGGAGGGTATTGCCCCGGGATGCTGACTGCGCCATCTCTGTCCTGTCCTCACAGAGCACACAGGAAGAGGTGTCCTCTGAAGAGGAAGATGAGGAGATGCCAGAGGTAAGTGCCCCTTTGCTGTAGGAGGAGATATGCCGGAGAGCTGAGCATAGGGAGGTGCTGAGAGGTGCGAGGGCACAGGGACAGTGCCTGAGAGGAGCTCCTGGAGTGCAGGCAGCAAAGTTCGATTTAAAGGCTGGATAGTTCTCAGCGTTTTGATGCTGAACCGTGTCTGGGAGCCACCTGTTCACAGACCCCAAGGGAGTGCAGAGGCCAAGCGGCACAGCCGTATCCTCCAGAGGCATGTGGGTAAACTGTGAGCAGAGCTGCTTGGACAATGTTTGCTGTTCTGCAGAGTCTGAAATTCCCTCAGGAGAGATAGAATTTCCAGGTTGCTGTTGCTGGCAGGGGAGTCACCGTGCAAATGGGACTCCCACAGGGGGCATTAGATCGGGTGGCTGAGTGAGCCAGTGAGCTGATTGCTGGGAGCAGCAGAGGCAGCCACCCTTCACTGCAGGCTGGGGGCATCGTGCTGCAGAACCCACAGGCTCTGGTTGTTTGGTTTGCAGTTTAGAGAGCTCTAGAAGTGGGTGGAATAATCTTGAATCTCCATGGTGACGTTTAGCGATGCCTCACACGCTCCTCTGGGGTGTGAGCAGCACGGGCACTGAGTCAGCAGTGCTGTGGAACCTGGGGGCAGGTCACTGAGCAGCAGCACCCCAGCAGTTTGGGAGGGGTTTAGCAAAGTTAATTGATTGCTAAATCCAGGCTAGGCTTTGCCAGGGGAAAAGAAGGGTTAAACTGGCATCAGCATAAGCTCAGGGGTCTGCAGATCTGCCGCTTCGTGGCAAATCAGTGCTGTGTGAGGCCTCATGCTCCTGTGGGCTGGAAAATAAATCCTCAGCTGAGCATTCCCCCTCGTACCTTCTGCTAATGCCAGGTGTCGTTGTGGAGGGGGAACACTCTCATGTAGAGCAAAGGTTTTGTGCTTAGTGGTGGGATTTGTTGGGCTGTGTGGAGCAGCAGAGCTGCTCCCTTGTACAGAGATTCATTATGCAGGTTAATCCACTCGAAGGATTTTCTAGGAGGATCTGTTCTCCTGTGTGACAGTCTAAAAATGTCAAAGCCCTTCCAAAAATGCTGCTCAACTGGAATAGCTATGAGCAGCCTGGAGAGGCCGGAATAAACACTTGTTCTGAGGATTTAGTGCCAGTGCTGAAGCTGTGCATTATTCCCACAGCCATTTCCAGGCAGCTGAACGCTGTGTGCATGGGTAGAGATCTCTGCAGTGGGCCCAAATGGCTGCAACTGGTTTTTACTGGTTATTCACGTTGGGTTCTGACATTGATGAGTGTTGGTGTGGGAAGGTGTGAGGGGCAGAGGCTCTGCCAGGGTCAGGTACCACATCGGGGGTGTGCTGAGCTGATCTACAAAGAGCCCCCAGACACACTGAAATGTCCCCTCTTGTTGAGGGGAGAACAGCTCTTATTGAGCTTGCATGAGCCTAGTGCAGTGTCCCGGCCTTGTGTGTGTTCCATTCTGTTTGTGCCTCAGGTCAGGACTGGGGGCTTCCCGGGGTGAAAGAGTTGCACTAGGAATCCTTGCTGGGTCAGGGCAGCTCCGTACTCAGAGCAGGGAGGAGCCAAGGCACATCTCTTTGAGGTCTCCTCTTCCCTTCCCAGGACACTGAGGACTTGGACCACTATGAGATGAAAGAGGAGGAGCCGGCAGATGGGAGGAAGACGGAGGATGAAGGCATTGGGAAGGAAAACCTGGCCATTTTAGAGAAAATAAAAAAGAACCAGAGGCAAGATTACTTAAATGTACGTGTCGCCTGGCAGGCAGGCGGGTTGGGGGAGCAGAGGGACCCAGGGGCAAGAGCGACTGAGGCACCTGCCAGCCCTCCAGCCCTAAATCAGGGGCCATCCCCAGCCAAAGGTACAACAGTGACTCTCAAGAACTGGTGGGGCTGAAGCAGAGAAGTCTGTGATCTGTCTCTGCAGCTCCCAGAGGGTGCCCCCAAGTCGTTGGTGCTACGTGGGGTGGCCCTCCTGTGGTGAGATTTGGGCATCCCCTCTGCCTCCAGGAGCTGCACCTCACCTGGGGCTCTAGAGGCAGCTGTTGGATTTTGCTTTTGTACCTCTGGGCTGAGATTTTTAGACAGTAGAGAGCACACGGAGGCATTTCTGCTGCAGCTGTGCTGCCCGGGGTGGCATATTTGGAGCAAGGGATGGACTGAGAAGTGAGGGGCAGACTGGCCTGCTACAGAGGCTGGACAGGGTTGTAGCTTAGGTGTTGACCTCGTAGAGCAATGACCATGGTGGGTGCAGCATAACAGTGCAACTTCCCCCCTCCCCTCCCTCACAGGGTGCAGTGTCTGGGTCTGTGCAGGCCACCGACCGGCTAATGAAGGAGCTCAGGGATATTTACCGATCACCAAGTTTCAAGGGCGGTGAGTGCTGCGGGGACCTCCAGGGAGGAGAGTTCCTCCTCGTTCTGGGGGCACCTAATGGACCTGGGAGGTGTTCTGCTCAGCTGGGGGGAGGATCTCTGACCTTTGGTGGCTGTGGCTTTGTTAAGAGTGAGCAAAACCTCTCTGTTGCCCTCTCTGTTCTCTGCCATTGCTGGGTGGAAGTGAGGAGCATGCTGTGGGTTGGAGGATTATCTGGCTTTGAGTGGGATGGTGCTCCAGTCCCTTTTCCGAGCCCAGGGACTCAGGGAAAGAAACTGCTGCCCTCAGGACTGTCCTGGATAAGTGCTGCTTTTTGTGGAGGCACTGCCCAAGTGAGGTAGTGCTGCAGGGTCCAGGGGATTTGAAATCTGGGTGATCCCTCGACCCCCTCTCGGTTTTCCCCTGCAGTGACCCACCTCTGTTCTTCTTGCAGGATACTATGCAGTTGAACTAGTGAATGACAGCCTGTACGATTGGAACGTCAAACTCCTGAAGTAGGTGGCCCAGCTTGGGACTGTGCAGTTATGGTGGGTCTTGGTGGTGGGACCAGAAGGTCCCTGTGAGCAGAGGGGACGTGAGCAGGACAGGGCAGCACCTGGCAGTTCTTGGGTTAGCCTCTCTCAGGCAGCTGGCTTGCTGTCTCCATGTCAGAAGGGGGTGATACCGCCAGGGAAAGATGAGATAATGTGAGGGCTTGCAAGTCTCTGCTGTTCCTAGAGTCCGGAAAGAGGTGCATCAGGCAAACCTCGAGCTTTCACACCCTCCAGACACCAGTGCTGCCTTTTCCTTGGGCCAGACAGTCTTTATTTTTAAGCTGGCAGCATGCAAAAGGGGTGTGATGGTCTTCTCTGCAAAGCAGGAGCAGAATGCCAGCAGCCCATGCTGGCACTGCCCTCGGTGAGGGCCTGGGGCCCGCGAGGCTGCCCGGCAGTGCAGGTACGGCGGCTCTAGGGTGAGCTGACAGCACGGCTGGCTTGAGGTGTCTGGCCCTGACTGACCCTCTGGGGTGTTCCTGCCGCAGGGTTGACGAGGACAGCGCTTTGCACAGCGATCTCCAGATCCTCAAAGAGAAAGAAGGAACAGATTTCATCCTCCTCAACTTCTCCTTTAAAGTAAGGTTCCCCCTCCTCAAGAGGCACTTGCCTGGGCGAGGCTTCAAAGAACACCTTTCTCAACGGCTTTACTTCCCTTCTCTCATTCCAGGATAACTTTCCTTTTGATCCACCGTTCGTAAGGGTTGTGTCCCCGGTGCTGTCAGGGGGGTGAGTAACCATTTGCCTTTCTCTGCTCTGCAGAGCTGCTTCCTGCAGCAGTTTTCACTGGCTTTATCCAGCATCATGACCTCCCTGACATGGGTTTGCCGTAGGGAAGCAGAGACAGGGATGGTGGATTTTTTTTTAAGTGTATTTCTTCCATCTGAGATCTGATCAGAGATGTTTCACCTCTGGAGCAGTGGGTGGGTGTGGCTACATCCGTTTCTGCAGTAATTTTGTCTGATTCCTTCCCCAGGTATGTTCTGGGTGGCGGTGCCATCTGCATGGAGCTGCTCACCAAACAGGTGGGTGCTGGTCCCTGCAGGGGCTGGGGGAGCTGCTCTGCCCACCACGCTCCACATTCCTGCTGGATCCTACTATGCCCTTGCCTGGCACAGCTGGGGGAGGCTGTTTGGTTGCATTGAGAGGCACAGCCCCCAGGGTGGGTCTGGCCTCACCGCATGTTGCTCTCCCAGGGCTGGAGCAGCGCCTACTCCATCGAGTCGGTGATCATGCAGATCAGCGCGACGCTGGTGAAAGGGAAAGCACGAGTACAATTCGGAGCCAACAAGGTAAGTAAGACCTGGCTGGTACAAGAGAATGGTGGGTGATAGGGGAGAGGCAAATGGAGGCACAGCCAACTCTGGCTATGGGATGGCTCACCCAAGGTTCCTGCTGGACTGATCATCTCTCTGCCTTCTACTGCAGAACCAGTACAGCCTGACAAGAGCACAGCAGTCCTACAAGTCCCTGGTTCAGATCCATGAGAAGAATGGTAAGGGCTGAGGGAGGGGGCCTGTGTTTCCCCTTGCTCATTTGGGCTCCCCAGACGAGCTGCTCGAGTTTTATCCTGCTCCAAGTGCAGAGGTGACCTGGAGGCAGGGGCAGCTGCTGGAATGCAGGGTGTGGGTGCAGCATGCTGCTGCCCTCCCTGATGCCCAGGGCTGGGCTCCTGCGGCTGTAACTAGAGGCAGCACCTCACTGAATGCTTGGACTTGATGATCTGAGAGGTCTTTTCCAACCTAAACAATTCTGTGATTGTCCATGGTGTCAGGAAGTAACCCAGAGGGAAAGCCTTCCGTTAATCAGGGAGACGTGGCCTTTTGGAAGTGGGAAAGCAGCTTTTCCAGGCACAGATTCCCATTGCCCATGCAGCTTCCTCCCTCACGGATCTCTCTCCTCATTCCAGGCTGGTACACACCACCCAAGGAGGATGGCTAGTGCAGATACTGCAGGACCAATCTGATTATCTTCTGGATGCTCTATTTGGATCTTACTGATGCCTCTTGGCTTTCTCCCAGGATGTAATAGCTCTGCCTGTTGCGGGACAATACTGGCTGTTCAAAACTCTAAATAAAACTGTTTAAGGAGTTGGACTGACCCAGAACACTTGCTGGGCCCATGCTAGCAGGCATTCTTGTTAAAACAAACTCGAGCCTCTTGTATCGCTGGAAACTTTTGACTCTGCTCCAGTCTAGAGCGTCCTCCTTACCTATGCTATGGATTTAATTTATTTTCTTATTTCATGTACACTGCTTTTTTTTGTTACAGTGTATGATGGATGTGTATGGAAAATGTATCTTTGGAGAAAAATTACAGTTTGTTAATTTGAGAATGCTGGTCTAACTCATTCTTTGCAAGCTGCTGCTGGGTGGGTTGTGCCCTAAGAACTCTGCTGCAGCCCTGGTGCAAGGGTGGGGAGATGGATGGAGCCACGGTGGGCTCAAGCCCTGCAGGAATGGCTGGAGCAGCTGCCTTGGAAGAAGAAAAGCCTGTTTCCCCCTGGTCAAACCCATCTCTTCTTAAACTGCGAACTTGCAACTCGAAGCACAGAGGGGGAGATCTGAGGCTGTCCTCTGCCATGCAGTGGAGGACAGGGTTGTGGGTGCAGCCCAGGGCTGCCAGCTCCCACCCCAGCTTCTCTCTCTCCTCTTGCCCAGCAGTGAGATGAGCAGAGGCCCAGCTGTGCCCAGTGCAGAGCTATAGCCCTTTGTCCTCTTTCTCCCCACTAGCTGTGGGTGGGGTCTGAGCCCCTCACCCCAGTCCCTGCTGTGCTGTGGATGCAAAAACTGCTGCGGGGAGGGGAGTGTGGGCACTGCTCTGGCCACCACTGCTCCTGACCAGGACCTGCTCTGGCAGCGAGCACCTCATTCTATGGTGATTTGTTTTACTTTCCCTCCTCGAGCTCTTGTTCCTGTTCACCTTGGTGCTCCAGCCCTCCATGGATGGTGCTGCTGCTTTTGTGGCCTGTTGCCTCGAATCCCCCCAGCTCTGTCTTAAGTCTGCTGGAAGGAGATTTGGGTGTCAGAGCTCCTCTAACTTGGGCTGTGTCCTCGGCTGGAGGGCAGAGCTGACGCACTAGTGTCAAAGCTGGGACCATGGGTATTAATTCACTGTGTTTGAATAAAAGTTATTAGAAAATCAAAGGGCCTCAGAACTCCATTATCTACTTCAGCAGCTGGTCCTCTGTCCTGCTCCAAACCTTGGAAATAAAGATGCTGTAGGAGGGGGATTAGTAATGGCTCTGGCATCAGCTGGGGACTATTTTTAAGTGCTTTGCTGAAGGACCCGAGAGTTTGTGATGCTGAGCAGCTCTGCCATGTGTCCTTCTCCACCCCGGACCAGGGGCTGGGGGGAGCTCTGCTCCTCTCTTTAGCTCAGGAACCTGCTCGGTGGGGTGTTAAGCTGATTTAATGATGGTGTAAAACATTTGTGGGGGTTTCTCTTTGGCGAGGTGCGGACTACTCTGCCGAACCTAGCGTTGGGTTGGGATTGGGTATGCTGAGTTGGCTGGGAGACCTCATGGGCACATGCTCTCAAATCCTGGCGGCTTTCCGGGCTGGGATGAGCAAAACTGAAGAAGGCCCTGCAGGACCCTCTCTGTCAGTGGAATGCTGACCTGGCAGGCATTGAGGCTGGAAGAACAGCAGGAGCAGCCTGAGCTGGCGTCTGGCAGGCGCCTGCCAGTCCCGTTTGTTTGCACCTGCCTGTCCCACTCCAAGCTGGGCTTGGCGCTCGTCACCACTGTGCTGGCTCAGCGCTTGTTTTGTCTTCTCAGGGAAGCAGGTGCATGGTGGTGCCATCTGTCACCACTGCCAAAGGCAGTCCCAAAGCCTTTCCCTGCAGGAGCTGGTAGAGGATAAGGGCGCAGGGGAGACTTCCCGGAGGAGACGCGTGGATGGTATATCACCGGTTGCACTGCCGCAGCACCAAACCACTGAGAGGGTGCTGCCTGTGTGTCTGTCCTGTTGAGGCCCTGTAAATGATTGAGGGAGATTTTAAGTCTGCCAAGGAAAGAAAAGGAGCTGGCACCCAAGGGAAGCAGAGTTTTCCTTGAGCTCAAGAAGGCAAAACTGGAGCCTGCTGAGATCCCACTGGCAGTTTGGGTGCCAGCCCATCACTGCGAGGCACATCCTGCCCAGCAGCGCCAGCAAGGAAACTGCCATCACTTCCTATGCAGTGCCAGCACCAAGCACTTCCCTGCACCTGGATGTGGGCAGCACGTTGCTCGTTGGGGTCAGTTCTCCCAGTGATCCCTCACAGAGAAGCCTCCCCGGGGAGGGGGGAAGAAGGCAGGGAGGAGGCAGCTGGTCTGTGGGGATGTTCTCTGGCTCCTGCAAGGAAGAGGAGCCTGTGTCCTGATCCCAGACTCCCACCCTGGGGACTTGGGGAGCAATTTTACTGCAAAACCCCCTCCCCATTCCGTGCTGTTGCAAAGGGATGGGTAAGTGGCCCCCGGCGCTGTGCAGCCCGGCAGGAAGCCAAACCGCTGGGCTCAACCGAGTTTTTCCGGCAAGGTGTCAGCACAGATCTTGGCTGATGGGGTGTGAACCGCGGCTGCGGCAGCAGTGAGTGCATTGGCGCTGTGCTTGTGACCCGTTAAGCTGTGCACGGGAGGCTGTGCACAGGGTCCTTGTACAGGGGGCTGTGCACAGTCTTCATCCATAGGGTCCATAGGATCCACACTCAGGCTTAATTCATAGCGCCCACATTCAGGTCCCATCCGTAAAGTCCATAAATTCCACCCACAAGGTCCACTGAGTCCATGCGTAGGCTCCACCCACAGGGTCCACGTCCAGGGGCTGTGCAGGGGGCCCGCGCACGGAAGTCTGTGCTGTCCGTGGGATCTCTGTGCGGGGGTCCGCACGCAGTGTCCGTCAGTGGGTTCCATGTGCACTTCCT